ATACTAGCTTTAGTCCTATCAAAGCAGGACTCCTCTAAGATAGTTTTAACCATTAAAACTGAGAGTGGTGCTAAAAATGGTCCTTAACTGATTCTATAGAAAGACGGTTATTTCAGAGCCAGAGAACAACCTAGATGACATTATTACAACACTGAACCTTTCTCTTTTGGCGGCATTGGTTCTTCTCCCTATAGAGTTACACTGTGAGACATTTCTCTGTTTAAACCAATGTCCTGGCAGATAAAAGTCCTGCGATATCTTGGAGAAGGGATGTACTCTGTCACGACACAGCAGGACTCCTGGGATTCCACTCCACTGATCTCCAGTGGGGGAAACCTTTAAATGACAGGAGAGCATCAAGTGAGATTCAGACTTCAAAGACCAGACTTGATGTTTCATAGAATCTCCTTCATTTCCTCACAATTAGACTCACTTTACAGGAGTTTTCCAAAATGCCTGCATGCATGGAAAGCTATGGAACACTATGACAACGGCTTTATGCAGGACTATTTAGAATCGCCTTCGACTGTTGAAGTTCAACTCCTAACTGAGGTATCATTAAGTTTGTGGTTAGGCTGTTTTATTTGTTTATCTACACTGTTCCAACGGGAACAAGAACATCGTCTATATTTCTAAATAAAGAGAAACTATAATTTCCTACAGCCTTTTCTAACAAATAGATGCATATTTTTAAAGATAGAAGTCTAGATAAAAGGCATATTGGATAACATTCTTTGAGGTTTGAGTTTTGGGGTAAATATCTTTGCTATTGTCATTACTTACCTACTTTTATCAATATCCTTCTACATTAAATTGATATTTACAAGAACTAATATCTACATAATTGATAATTTAATAGGTTTTTATTAAAAGAGTTATTTTCAGTATTATTCACTATGATTTCACTGCAGACACATAATTTTTTCTTTACGGCATATAACACAAAATCTCCTTTTGAAAGAGAATGAATTCTGTACTAATCCTCTCTAATGTTGGTATATTAATGTGCATAATTAACCGCAGTGTTTTTGTTGTAAAGTAATTGTTAATATATATAATTTTAAAATGTTTTGAATATTCTACTTGAGAGAAAAAATGGTAGGGGTGGCTACAGGGTTGGCTAATGATTGGCTAAGGGTGGCCATGGCCATGGCCACCCCTGGCCCCCCATCTAGCTCCGCCCCTGTTTATAGGTTATATAAAAGTGGGCCTTATTCGCCATGGTTGAAGTTCTCTGTTTGGTAAAAAATCTGAAAAAAAAAAAAAAAAAAATCTCTCTCAAAAAGGTCTGAACACTGCAAAGAAATAAAATCTAAATAAGTCATTTTTTCTTAAAATAAGTGCATTTTTTCTTGAATTAAGGATTGAAGTGAGACACTTTGCCAATGGAACAAGACAATTTACACTTTAAACAAGAAAAAAACTATTGCATTGTCTTATTTCAAACGCATAATATCTAGATACCTTATTTTAAGAGTAAAAATACTCATTCCATTGGCAAATCATCTCATTTACCTGCTTGAATTAAGGGTAAATACACTTAATTTAAGACAGTTGTACTAATTTTGAGATCATTTTTGCAGTGAATCACTATCAGATACACTTGGTTTATATTGTTTTATTTGTAAATGATAATATATTTTTGATTTATTTATTTTGTGACTAGGCCTTTTTAAGGTTTTCCTCATACTTCATCTCCATCTCTAAACTTTTTGATTCCCACACCATCCCGGTACGCTAATGTTCCTCTCCGTAAATGGCATTCTATTCCTATTCTGGATGATTCAGGTCAATGTGTATGAAGTGGAAATCCCCTGACACACAGAGGACATCAATATGTAGTCAGTGGTTAAAGAGAGAGCTAAAATGCCTCAGTACCATAATTTATTCACACATTGAACTTATACATGCTTGAAGAGTTCAAAGTAGCCTGGGAAGAAAACCGCTTTCAGAGATTTTATGAAGTCTTGGACACTTGACATTTATATTTAAATAAGACTGATGTAAAAGCATAAGCATAAAGTACACAACAAAAAAACACATATGATCCTTGTTCTTGGTTGGTCAGTACAAAAAGCACAAAACAAAAAAAGAACAGGGTTCCTACGGTCTGTAGTGACACTAAAAAGTATGAAATGTAATAAGGTTTTTAATATTTTTGTTTTCTATTACTTTGTATAAAAGATCTGTCATTCCTTTTGTCCTTCCACTTACATTATAGATTTATCTAAATAGACTTACTCTTTAAAATGCAGGGTAAATAAATGGCTGGTTGGCTTAAATCATCAATATTTTAGAGCTGACTGCTCCTGCTTTTCCTGTGCTAAGATGTGTTTTTTGTTGTTGTGGGTGTGATTAATTAAACGGTCAGTTAACGAGTGTTTGTAAAGAGCATGCTCCTTTATTGTTGTTGGAAAAGGTGGTTGGCAGGTTTTAATAAGGTCATGTGTCCAAATGTATGTAGGTCAGGCTAAGAAGACATAAACTGGATAAAAACACTCCTTTACAACTGACACATCCTTAAACGACGCCTTTTATCATCGTCAACAACAATATAAGGTTAAAAAAAAGGTCGTCTACTGCATGAATCTGGTTTGGACAACCAATGGCAAAACCAGACATGTATATAACAGTTTAAATTCATATTTTTTATTTGTTGAGCCAGTGGCCCAAGAAATAGCATGTGGGGTTTGCTTGTGGGGTTAATCATGTTTTTTGGGAATTTCATACCATTTTCCATTTAAAATGCAACCATTTTCCAGTCTAGCAATGTACTAAATGACTTTAATATTGACTTTTTCTGATGCGTACGCTGTACATGTCTAGATAGGTATGGCAAAGCTTTGCACCATGGCGATTCCTAAGAGGTGATCTGTTTCCCCTCCTAAGACAGTCGCTGCGAAAGTTAAATAAAGGACAAAGCAATACGAGGTAATAGTCCCCGGAGAATCCTGCCTCTCTGTGCTAAATTTTTGTTTGTGTACAAACCCATGACCCTGTGCCCTCGCCATAATCCCTCGCTACAGGGGCTGGATTAGGGCCTCTTTTTATTAGCCAACCACCCTGACGGTTCCACTTTGTCTTCGGTCTGGATCGATTGCTAGCCTACTCTGAAGTGGCAGTGCTGGATATTAAACTTGGGACCAGCCAAACCCTTTGGACTGCAGAGATAATCCCTCCACAAATTAAGTAGAGGAAAATTGGTTTGATAAAATGGGAGGGAAAGGTTCATATGGTGACATTCTTTACAGTCAACACGTAGAAAACAATGCATTATTTTATTTATAATGTGAAGCAGCTGCTAAAGAAAGCTGTGCTGTCATTTAGTCAAAGACAAGAATTCATTAAATGGATATTCTGTCAATGGTTACACAATTCAGACTCAATATAACTTGATTTATGTGTAAGCTTTCCCAAAATTCCTTAAAGGAATAGTACACCCAAAACATGATTAGCCTTCATTTTCTACTCACCCCCATGCTGAACAACACTCTGGAGTACTTTTTTGATATCTCAAATGCATCTGGAGATCTGGGAGGCTTCCTGCTGTCTGCTGACATTCAAATAATGGAGGTCTATGGTGCCCGAGGCAGAAAGGTCCATAAAAGTCCACAAAAAACGTGTCAATATTCCTCCATACTGGTCGTCCAATGTATTCCAAGTGTCCTGAGTGGGTAGCATCCAGAATTTACTCGAAACTAAGTCATTTAGAATGTTTTTAGAGCATAAACAGTAGTGTATAGGACTTCCTAAACGCGGGCGCATGCGCGTTCACGACGCTACGGAAGCCGGCAGACCAAACCAGATGAAAGTGCGCATTCAGCGTCTGCTCTTCCAATAATGCAAGCGTAGAAGAAGAAATGTGCCGTTTACCTGTGCAAAGAAAGAAACAACGAAAGAAAAATGTCTGAGGACTTCAGTGTTGAGGAAGAGCATGAGTTCTTTGCCGAGCTGAATGCGCTGGTTTGGTCTGCCGGCTTCCGTAGCGTCGTGATCGCGCATGTGCACGCTTTCAGGAAATCCTATACACTACTGTTTATGCTCTAAAAACATTGTAAATGACTTCGTTTCGAGTAAATTCTGGATGCTACCCACTCAGGAAACTTGGAATACATTGGACGAGCAGTATGGAGGAATATTGAAACGTTTTTTTGTGGACTTTTATGGACCTTTCTGCCTCGGGCGCTGGGCACCTCCATTATTTGAATGTCAGCAGACAGCAAGAAGCCTCCCAGATCTCCAGATGCATTTGAGATATCAAAAAAGTACTCCAGGGTGTTGTTCAGCAAGGGGGTGAGTAGAAAATGAAGGCTAATCATGTTTTGGGTGTACTATTCCTTTAACAGTTATGCTTTTCTTTGCATTTGACGGTAAAATAAAATCCCAATAAAATACATAAAATTGTGACTGGAATGACATGCAAACCTTTTTAAGACTTGTGTGACTCCAACATTCACTAAACTCGGACTCTGTTAGACCTTTGCTGTATTTTTATCGCCCTTCTCTTTTCACATTCCTTTTTGTGTGTTTTATGCAAAATAAAAAAATACTAAATAAAAAGTAAATATATATATATATATATATATATATATATATATATATATATATATATATATATATATATATATATATATATATATATATATATATATATATATATATATATATATATATTAAAATTGTGTACCTGATAACAGAACATTATAAGTTCTGGCATGGAAACATCAGGTCTGGATTTTATCACCACTTCTCTCATTATAGCCAAGATGAACATTAGTTAGTTATATGGCATTTATATTTTAGTGTAACAGGTTGTTTAATTGGTTTTGAAATGATGTATGCTGCAGTAAAATATTCAGCGATGTAGATTATTTCTCAGATATTGAGATGGTGTTTAAAGAAATCGGTACATGTTTGTTTCTACTGTTTCAGATTTAAGAAAGTCACATTTTCTGTTCAACATTTTTCTCACTTTCCACCCTCTGCTTTCCCAACGACAGGCATGTCGTTGAATGTCCGTCAAAGCAGCGACCCCTCCTTGGCTGACATCCCTCCAGGAGAGGTCATGATTGGTCAAGAGGAACCATCGAGGAGGAATCCGGCTCGCTGGTCCACAACACCTGGTTTCCAGAAGTACAGCGTTATGCCAAACACACAGGGTGCCACGGGCACCATAGAACAGGTAAGTAAAAAAATGATAGTATTGACTGTTTAAACAGAGGTAACTTCATTCATTCACTAGCTCAGCAGAAACGACATCAAACTGAGTTTATATTAAAAGCTTAACTTTGGATCATTGCTTCAATTAGATCTTGTTAGTTCATTTAATACTTTTAAAATCTTGCCAGTACCTTGTTAACCACTGTGCACCAGATGTGCTCAAATTGTTTCAAATCGACCTTTATGATGACAGATGAGTTCAGAGAGCTCTCCTGCCTTCCTGCAGTCTCCCTCATTTCCATCCGTTTCTCTTCCAACTACCTAAATCAAAAGAATAACTGTGAAAGACTGAAACACTGCCTGTAGTGGAAGTCCTTATCTGAGAGGGGCTTCTTCTGATGGCACCTCTTTTATCCATAAAAGGCCAGAATTTGTTAAACACATTCAGCTGCTTTTTAGATCTGTAGCTCCTGTATCTCCTTCCTGCAGCGTCCAAAGGGGACGTGAAGCCAATTAACATCTTAAAGCAGCTCGCTCTCTCCAAGGTCCTGGCAGACCTTTACTTCTGATAGAAAATGAGATATGTTACCAATCAAAACAGGAATAAATGAGAATGTGGGAATTGAGAAAGCCACTTCAGAAGTGATCAGGGTGTCCTGAAGCAGGGGCTAATTCTATTCAGACATTTTCATTGTTACAGCTATCATTGTCACTATCAAAAATTGGTATCATGTCTAGCTTGGCTTAATGTAGGTATTAGGTCTTTCATTAAAACTGACTTAGACTTAGACAACCTTTATCATCATTTCGTATACACAGAGTGTTTACAAAACGGAATTTTGGTTTTTTTACAGCTTTCATGACATTTCAACTGTTAGAATGTTCATAATTTGTTTTATCTTTCTTGTCGCTTGTGTCTGTAAGTACAATTGTTAACAGTTCTTGAATAGATGTCTTTTGCAAACGCCTCGTTCTATCCAACATGTATCTAATGAGAATAAGATAACAGCAGGAGATGAGGAAATATTGTTTATTCTCAATCAAAGGCTTTCCTAAATTTATAGAAACATTTTTAAACAGCAGTTTGATAGGTTAGGTTATTTGATAGGTTAGGTTATTTGTATGATTTTAATCAGTGTAGAACAAGCCATGTCATTTATAACCAGTCTAAATATTTTAGATTTTAAACTAGAGATGGTCAAATACTGACTAATACAGTAGGTCTATATGACTTTGATTAGGATTTAGATGCGACACATATTTCATTACTAAGACAGCTTTCTTTTTTTCAGAAAAGCACGATATAATCGGCCCCCTATCGGCCTTAAAACTGAATATCGGACATCGGCCACCCCATCGATATTTAACCCGATATTTGATCAGCTTCTGAGTTTCTAAAGTCTAAAAAAAAAATACTACTTCTTCTTCTTCCTCAAAAACTTCTTTTTTACAGACTTAAAAACTTCTAAAGACGAGGGAAAAAATATTGATACATTAAAATATCCCAATATCTTCCTATGCTGATATATTGCCATTTAAAAACACCATATCAATCTCTTTTACTAATGAAATATTGCTATATGTCATCGTTATGCTACGAAATCCCCCCAAAATTCACAAATGTTGCCATATTTTTATATGTTGATATATTGACGCGGTATCGATCTATTTTACTAACAAAATCTCACAAGAATTTGCAAAATATCACAAGAGTTTGTAACAGAACGATGAAATTTCACGAGATTTTGAAAGTAAAATAGATCGATACCGCGTTTTTAAAAATCTATTTGATATCAGCATATGAAAATATATTTGAGTATATTATTTTTCAAAGTGTCAGAAATGGATAACAAAACTTCTATTTTCAATGACTACTTATTTTTTTTCCAGCTTTAACATCAGTATCGATATCGGTTATCGGCTACTTGAGTTTTAAAATATCGGCATATCAAATATCGGCCAAAATCCCAATATCGTGCATCCGTAATATTTTTTCTTATAAGAATAAGAATATAGACAGTATCCCTCCAAAATAGAGTGAGAACGACAGTTTAGTTTTGTTCTTCCATTTGTTACCTTCTTTTAATAGTAAAATAAAAGAAAGGTTAGGTTATCTTTTCAATCTCTCTCAACATTGACTGGCTCTATTTCTTTGTTGTCTTTTTTTATTTTTATTTAACCAAGGAAAAAAAAATCCCATTGAGATTAAAAAACCTCTTTTTCAAGGGAGTCCTGGCCAAGAGGCAGCAAAGTTACATAAAAAAAAAACATAGATACAGTCTTAATAGCCATGCTACCTGAAGTAAGGCTTTTTAAGAATAATTCTTTATTAATTTATTCCTTTTGTCAGCTCCTGTATTCAGGGGTCGCCATTTACAACTTGCTCACACATCTTTGGTCAAATCTCTATCAACCTGTTGTTATAAACAGTTTGTTTGACACTTGACCTTTATTAATAAATTATTCTAAATGTGAAGGTTATATTTAGGGCTCATTTTGCAAATCGATTCATCTCTCGATTATTTTTTAATTTAATCGATTAATAATTGGATTGCCATCCCCCAAAGAAGATTCTTTATGAAATTAAACCAGGTTAAACTAAAAAATTCTCACTTGAGGAGTTCTGGATAGAGCATATTGACAGAAAAGAAAGTTCTTTTTTTTATATTAAATGCTAAATGTTTACTTTTTTTTTTTTTTTCCAATTTTGATGTAACTGCTCTAAGTGGGTTTCTATGTGAGCTAAAGACATATTTTACAATCTCTATACTCTAGTTAATGATTAATCAATTACTAAATTAGTTTGTGATTATTTCAATAATTGATTAATCACTATTAATCTGCTTAATTGTTTCAGCCCTATTTATATTATAACCAACCTCCAAAAACTAGAGCTTCAGCACTGACCAAAAATGTTAGAGACAAGAGGAAGAGTAAAACTGTGGTCTGGAGGTTAGCGATCTACTTGCTCATATGGTAAACTTTAAACACAACACCTTGAACAATTAGAGGCTTACTTAATAGTTTTTAGAATAATACTCCTAAATAGGACTTTGGTGAAAGCTTGTTCTTCCCAAAATACATTTAAATAGATCCACTTACACAAAAAAAGCACAATGTTTTTCCACTTTCTTGATTTATTTGATTTGATTTCTTTTCCCGAAATGTCAAACATCCCCATGCAGCTGAGTCTGATTTTATGAAGCCAACAGAAGTTCTCAGTCAACAGCTAAAAGCGTAAACTCATCACATCCCAGTTGCTTCACAATACTTTATAGCATTTCTTTATAGTCGGCAAACAAGAATAAACAGCTCGTGCTTCTGCGTGCAAGCTGGATCAATCCTGCTCCTTCACATTTGGCTTTCTCTGCATTTTATGATATATGTCGTAAAAGTTTGTGAACAGGATTCAGTTGTTCCTCTGCGGCTAAAACTGTAATGGTTATTAAGGCTGTCTCCCTATCAGACTCTACATGGTCAGTTGAATTTTATGGTCCTGTCTGCATTGCTTCCTCAGGCCCCCGTCATGGCACATTGAGCTTTGCTGAAAACATGTGTTTTATTAAAGCATGCAAGGGTCAGGAGTCTGATTTCTTTATTTACAATTGTTAACTGTCGTCTAACATTTAACTTTCCAAGCATAACTTGTTGTCTTTACACATTCTTATCTTTCTCATTGCCTCGCTTCTCACGTTTTACAACTAAAGATCGGCATAGTAAAGTACCTTTTTAACATATTGAATATTGTACTCATATCTAGACTTTAGGTTCTTCGTCAAAATTGTATTTTTTGCTTTCGTTTCTAAAATCTTAACTCTAAGTCATATATCTTGAATCCCCCAACAATGGGTCGGGTATTTATTCTATTATTATTCTAACTCGTCCTTTGGATGATGTTCTAAAGTCAACTTTATTCTCAGGTTACCTTGGAAAAAAATATTTAGATTGGTTCTTTGTATGCAACTTTGGAGCTTAGATTTTGCACAGCTTATGCCTGAATACTGTGAGGAAAGCTCAACAGAATGAAAGAAAACACTGAATTATACTGAATAATTTCTACATTATACATCTTCTATTAACTCTTTCAAATACAGGCTAATTATCTTTTATCGTAAAGCTTAGACATTGCATGCTGTCTTTTACTTTGCAAAAAGTTTCCATCTAACCAAGTCTTTTTGATCTTGTTTTGAGAGAGCAGATTTTCTAAGTTAAAGGAAAATTCCGGTTTTTAACACTTTTAGCCCATTTTCTGTAGTGTCCAGGATGAAATCGAATGATCGACACCAAAATTTTGACAATTGGTCCTGTCTCTGCTATTTGGCTCATTTAGAATCAACCCCTGGCTGCTTCAGAATGGCTTCCATAGTGCATGTCCGATAATGTCCTTAAAACAACCTTAAACGTTCTTTTTTTAAAATATGCTACTCACCAGGTCGTCAGCGCTGTTCAATGACGTTCCAAAAAAAGTTTCGTAAAGAAAAAACGTTCCTGTAGTGTTTTATTTAGCATTTTGTAAATCCCATTGAGTTCTGTTGGAATAGTCAATATCCCTCCGCCACCGGAAACGGAAATGGGGCCTGTTTACGCTTAGTTGTAGTCTTTTCGCAAGGCCCAAGTGTTTCTGCTTCACTCTGTGTACTCCGACGTCGAGGTGCTAACGTCTCTGTTAAACACTTTAAAAAACTCTGAAAATGGAATACGAAAGGTGGATTCTTGAGGAGGACATATTGGACTTTGAGTTTGACGGTAGAGGATACCGTCGCCAACTAGTGGTCTGGAGTGTGCAACGCTTCAGATTCGAACGGGAAGCGGAAGTTTATAAGCGGTTGTGATGTATCGGAAAAAATAGTTCTGGGATTTACAAAATGCTAAATAAAACAAGACAGGAACGGTTTTTCTTCACGAAACTTTTTTTGGAACGTCATTGAACAGCGCTGACGAACCGGTGAGTAGTATATTTTAAAAAAAGAATGTTTAAGGTTGTTTTAAGGACATTATCGGACATGCACTATGGAAGCCATTCTGAAGCAGCCAGGGGGGGGGATTCTGCATGAGCCAAATATCAGAGACAGGACCAATTGTCAAAATTTTGGTGTCGATCATTCGATTTCATCCTGGACACTACAGAAAATGGGCTAAAAGTGTTAAAAACCGGAATTTTCCTTTAATTCATCTTTTTTTAAGACAAGATTTTACTGAAAGTAAGTGCAATAATCTATTAGTGCAGTGGAACAATTTCAATTCTTTTTTAATATAAATTATTAGAGGCTTATCTGGTATATCTAGTGGCAAACTACATTAATCTCACTGTAATCTTGGAATTAATCTAGATTAATCTAGAATAAACTGGCTCATTCTGAATTCCACCAAAGACATGCATGATTTGTGTGTGCTGCCTGTAATGATTTCAAGAAGTCTTACCAAGTGCATTTTTTTTAAAATAATTAAAGTCATATTCATTAAATTACAACAGGTGTTTGATAAGGCTTATTGGTTAGAATAAAAGTACCTTTGGGAAATTAGAACATTGCAGGAGGTTTTAAACACATTTTTCAGTGACTCCACAGTTTCTTTCCCAGAGCTCGCCTCACCCCACCCCACCCCACCCCCCCGTAGACATATAACAGTTCATTTTATGACCGATGTCCATTTATAGCCTGGTCTGGTATGGGCTGCACTTCATGTAAATACAACATGCCTTTTCTCTATGCACATATGTTCATATTTCTCTTTAGGGATGTTCTTCAGCTGCTATAAGTGATCCACTTCTTCCCATGATGTGCTTTGTGATTTCTATGCATGTTTTGTTATTCTATCTTTTTTTATGTGTTCCATTCATTTTGATTGTGACCAAAATGATTTATGGGTCCATGATGAATAGATAAAGAACAGAAACCAACATTTCAAAACATCCCTCTGAGAAATCAGTCTTTATAATCAATTTCACTTACCTGAGTTATTGAAACAAATGTACTTTTCTGTAGTGTTTGAATTACAGGATTTCAACCTTGTACAGTTGGTGGGCATCTTAAGAATAATAAAGAAAGAAAGGTTAAAATGAATCCTCTCTTCCTGTGGAAGGCATGCTCCAAATGCAAGGGAAACAGTCTTAATACCTACCTTACCGCAATGCTCAACTCAGTGTGTAAAAGATAAGACCCCCTCATCATGATTTAAGACGGTGTTAATGTTGTGGGTGTTTCCCTTTCTTTGCATGATATAATCCTATCAAAAGTGTTGTTCTCAGGAAACAGGTAATTTCTTTGATATAAACACACCAGAGCCGGCTCTAGGTTCTTCGGTGCCCAACAGAGTGCCTCTTTGCTACCCCCTCCAACTAAGAAGGCCCTCTTCACAAAAAGCAACTCTACAGCTATGCCATAATTTATATCATTTTGTATTTTAAATACTTTTTAAAGACAACATCCTGAAGAATATATATATATATATATATATATATATATATATATATATATATATATATATATATATATATATATATATATATATATATATATATATATATATTCACACTCTAACCAAACATTTTAAATTGCATGCACATGTGTTGGGCGCAAAATCAAAAGCAATATAAAGCTGTACAATTAAAAGCAAAACCAAAATGTCAAGGTTAAGACAACAACTTAGAACAGCAACGCTAAAGAATAAATGTAAATTTGAAAGATAAGTAGCCAAAGGATATCAAAATAACCAAATGTTTTGCAAATGTCACAAGGGTGAAATACAACATCAAAACCAGCATAAAGCCACAGTATGAAAAGAAAAACTAAAATGTCAAGGTTAAGACAGTAACTCTGAAAGTGCAAACAATAACCAACAACTCGAAACACTAACTGTCATTGTAAAGAAATATATGCTTTATATTTTTGTCAACATTGCCATAAATAAAACTTTTAAACATTATAACACTATGTGTAATCAACGTAACCTTAAATAAGAGAGATCCCACTTGAAGTAAAATAAGTTTTAGTGTTTTAAGGTTAGGCTTAGGCCAAGTTGGGCTATTTGCAATAATCTAAAACAAAAAACCATCCCTGAGCTTCCCAGTTTTGCTCAAAATTTAACTCTTCTGGCCTTCCTAGAAGTAATGGCTTTCAGGATTTCCTAATACGTATTTACATTTATTATATTTATTTTTTAATTCTGCAACATCGCACCTGGCTAGCAGATTGGCCGCACTTTTGAACGCCGCCATGAACACACTTCCTGTGGATTCTTCTTCATTGGCATTAGGCAGGTTGTCCTTCCGGCCACCATACTGGGGACCAAATACAGGAATAGAAAAATAAAAATTGAAATAGTTTCAGTAATAATCACACATTGATCACTGTTTCAGTAGAATCTTGGTTCCCAGCCCTAAATAAACACAACTTTGTAGTAATACTTCCTGGTGTGTCTTGAAGTCCTTTCTGACTTAATTCACTTTCTTCAACACTTGGCAGAAAAAGTTGATGTTCTGTGTCTGAAAACTAATTTTTTAAAACAAAAAAGGTGAAGAAAAAAATGACCAAAACTACATTATTAAGAACTAGTATTAAGCGAAGGAGCAAAAAGACCCGTACATGGGAGGTTGAGATGTTTGTTGGAGCAGACTGAAGGAAGGGTCTCATTGGTTCTTTCTTAGACTAAATTAAATGGTTTGCTTCAAATGTCAGGTTTTCTGTGTATCTCTAATTTCTTAAACTTCATTTATAACATTTGGATCAAGCAATTAGTTTATGTCTATTTGTTAGAAAGTTACGTCTAATCTATTTCATTTTTAAGCCGTGATCATTTCAATGTAAGAATTTTTATTTTCCCTTTAAAGCTGTGCTGTATCGCCGTTATGTAGTGAAGCTTTTCAGTAACTCTACATTTTCTTGATTGGCAGGGAAGAGGAGCCCAAGTCTATCGGAGTCTTCCTCGTGATGCGACTACCTGGGCTGCTCAGTTTCAGAGAAACATGATTCGTTCTTCCCTTAGTGCCAATCATCCAATGGTCGACCAATGGCTTGACCAACAGGAACAGGTAGGATGTGAATCTAATACTTTACCTTAATAAAGATTGCATCCCAGTTTTCATATATACTTGCCAATAAGCCAAATTAATATAAAACTGAATGGCTTTCCATAACTCCTGATTTAATCAACTATTATTACCAAACTGATATTTGAATGGTAAGAGGTACAATAGAAAGTCCCTTTGCAAATATCACTTAATAATGAACTTGATTAAACTTTGAAGGAACATTTCACACCACAGATCATAGATCAGCAGTTTGGTATGAGGCACTTCTTGGTAATTAACACTGAAACAGCTCAATGACCTTCTAGGAGAACCAATTGCTGCCAAAATCAAGTTTTAAATTCAAGTCACTTATCCTTGGCTATGGAGGGAGTTTTAGGTCTGCAATCAGCTAATTACACTCAGCAATGAAGCATTTTGACCTCTGCAGTCTTTTGAAGAACTTTTCGGCTTTTTTTATTTCAGCAGAACAAAAGCCTCATGATTACATGATGAATATGCAAAGTTAATGAAATTTAAACCTGGTCCAATACATACTAGTAGGAAAGAAAAGGATCCCATCTTGTTTGTTTACTGGTAGCACTAATCTGGCTTTTGAAATGGTAAAAATGACAAATGGCCTATACTTATATAGTGCTTTTTCAAGTCATGAGACTTGACCAAAGTACTTTACACTCATTCGGTCATTCACCCATTCACTCACACTCTGATGGTGGCAAACTACATTGTAGCCACAGCTGCCCTGGGGCTCACTGACAGAAGCAAGGGTGCCGTACGCTGGCGCCACCGGGCCCTCGACCACCATCTGCAATGCAGGTGAAGTGTCCTACCCAAGGAAACAACCACAATGAAAGTGTTGTCCACATATTACTAAGTAAAGATCATACAGTGGACATTTTAATTTCTAAATTACAACTCAATAGTTTGCCATGTTTCAGGCTTTTTGTTTAAAATGCTTTGGTTAGTTAGATGTAATAAAATTTCCTCATAAATGCACTTTCTAAACATAACATGTTTTGCTGAATGTGTTTTTTAAATCTCAGCTTTTGTATTGTAAACTAGAGACTGACATTTTTTCGGGAATCCCACGGGAATCCCACGGGTCACGGGATTCCCGTGGGATGGGAGTCAGTATTAGTAACGATCACGTGATTGGGATGGTACAGGATTAAACATTAATGGGAGCAGACAGGAGCGGGAGTAAACCAATAATAACAAAAAAAAAAAACTAGGATCGATGCCAAAAAATAAAATAAAATAGAAAGAAAAAAAATCCAGTACTGGCGCCGCCATTTTGTAGTTTTTTTCCTTGAAGCCTACACTATATTGCGAGTCAAAAAAAACTACACGACCCAAAAACCAACAGTGCTTCCGCTCTGAGTTTTTCACCCGCGCTCAAAAACAACAAAAATGGGAGTGGTGCAGGAGCGGGAGTCATTCTGAATGGGAGCGGGAAGTTAATGAAATTTAAACCTGGTCCAATACATACTAGTAGGAAAGAAAAGGATCCCATCTTGTTTCTTTACTGGTAGCACTAATCTGGCTTTTGAAATGGTAAAAATGACAAATGGCCAATACTTATATAGTGCTTTTTCAAGTAAGGAGACTTGACCAAAGCACTTTACACTTATTCAGCCAATCACCCATTCACTCACACACTGATGGTGGCAAACTACATTGTAGCCACAGCTGCCCTGGGGCTCACTGACAGAAGCAAGGCTGCCGTACGCTGGCGCCACCGGGCCCTCTGACCACCATCTGCAATGCAGGTGAAGTGTCCTACCCAAGGACACAACCACAATGAAAGTGTCGCCCACATATTACTAAGTAAAGATTATACAGTGGACATTTTAATTTCTAAATTACAACTCAGTAGTTTGCCATGTTTCAGGCTTTTTGTTTAAAATGGTTTGGTTAGTTAGATGTAATAAAATTTCCTCATAAATGCACTTTCTAAACATAACATGTTTTGCTGAATGTGTTTTTTAAATCTCAGCTTTTGTATTGTAAACTAGAGACTGACATTTTTTCGGGAATCCCACGGGAATCCCACGGGTCACGGGATTCCCGTGGGATGGGAGTCAGTATTAGTAACGATCACGGGATTGGGATGGTACAGGATTAAACATTAATGGGAGCAGACAGGAGCGGGAGCAAACCAATAATAAAAAAAAAAAAAAACTAGGATCGATGCCAAAAAATAAAATAAAATAGAAAGAAAAAAAATCCAGTACTTGCGCCGCAATTTGGAAATTTTTTCCTTGAAGCCTACACTATAATGCGAGTCAAAAAAAAACTACACGACCCAAAAACCAACAGTGCTTCCGCTCTGAGTTTTTCACCCGCGCTCAAAAACAACAAAAATGGGAATGGTTCAGGAGAGGGAGTCATTCTGAATGGGAGCGGGATGGGAGTGGGAGTTATTTCACCAGGAGTGGGACGGGACAGGATTTAGATTTCTACTCTGGCCTGGGATCGGGACGGGACACCATTTTTTTCTGTGGGAGTGGGACGGGACAGGAGTGAAAATCCACTCCCGTGTCAGTCTCTATTGTAAACCTTATATCTTTGAATTTAAATTATATTAATAATTTTGTTGTAAGAATAAAAGAGAATTTCACCTGAATTTCCCCACGTATTACTCTATCCTTCTACTCTTACTATTTCAACATCAGACTAAATTTCAATTGAAACATTATTTGAGCAGCAAAATTCTGATATTTTGTCAATAATTCAATGAATGCAATAATAACATAACTGTCCAACAGTTGGTAACTGAGCAACATCTCACTTCTGTTTTCTGTTGTGATACATTTAGTGGAGTAACAGTGTAAAGTGTTGGTTATTGCAGGCTTGACTCTTCACTTCGCACCTCCTCGCTCTGTTGGTACTGTATGATTGAGTCAGTCTGTGACTGGTCCCTCTACTCCTCAATCTGTCAAAGGAGAGAAAATATGCTTCCTTTAAAAGTTATTAAAAGTGACAGAGCCTCTCAGCAGGGAGAGCAGAAATGACCTTGGGAGGTGTTAAAGTGCTGAGCTTAATGAGAAGAAGATTTCCCCCAGTTCCAGTGTCAGGCTCTTAACTCTTCATTATTGGCTACCTGCTCTGACTTGTATAGAAAAATTAAGTGAAGTCAAAGAAAGGATGTGGGAAGATGAGTAATTCTAGAATCTGTTGAAAGTAAGAAGAGTCAAAATGAAAAAAATGTTTGATTGATCTTAAATACAAAACCAAATAGTTTTTTCTCCCCTTGTCATTTCGCTGTATTCACTGTTGTTAGAAGCTGAGCTACTGTGACCAAATGGAAGATCAGTTAAAACTGAAAGTTGTCTATGTTGGTCAATTATAACTATTTTCCCTCCTCAAGTTTAAAAAAAAGGTTCCAACACACTTCATCACTCTCCGTCAAGGATTTATTGATGTAGCGTTTTGGTCGGGATGACCTTCATCAGACCTTCATACGGTTACATCAGTTAATCCTTACAGTGATCCTTAGAGAAATACAGTTTGTGGGAACTTTCCTTTAAACATGTGGGCACGTTTTGGGCTACGGCCCCCTCCTACATTCCTATGCCTTCAGGTGTGCTTACATTTTCTGTTCCCTTTTGGAACCTAAGAAATTTCACTGCAAGTTTTATAAAAACATTATAAGCAAACAGCTAAACATTCAAATATTCAATATTAGAAAAAACGTTTTTTGATGTGCTACACTGGTACTAGATGCACTGAGAAATCTACTTTTGAATCTGACAAGCAAAAACTCAAGTATTTACCCACAAACACTGTACTGTACATCTAAAAACCAGGTCGGGCTCAGCTCCACAGTGAGGTGGAGTACAAGATTAATATGAAGCTCATTAGAGTGAAATGCGCTGCCTTGGCAATTTGTGCAATTTTGTGCTGAAAGCCCTAAAAAGAAAACGCAGCTATGTATTTAGACAAAGACATAGCTGAGCAAACATGGCTACTATGGTCTGTCAATTTTAAAGAAAGAACTCCATTTCACTCCCTACCCTGCCATGCTTCTGTGTTTGAGAGTGTGAAAGGAAGAAGCAGAAGAAGAACCCTTGTTTGCACATGCCTACTGAGCAATTTGCCCACAACAAAACATCTTTGATTATCTCCCGACCTTATGAGTCCTGATCGAGAGATGGTCCAGAGAGGCTGATTGCCCCTCGTTACCCCATGTACACTACACAACACACGATGCAATACGAGGCTGAAAGTCGGCCCGATCAAAAAACTAACGACTGGAAAATCGGCCCAACAAGGGCAAAAAAGCGCACAGTGTATGCCTGGTTTAAAGCAGAATAGTGAAAACCAGTCTCTATGTCCTCCAGCAGTGTAAGCATATAGCAGCATTGTTGTAGGGATAGTTTAGGATAACCTGAGCCATTCTATAACTATAGTTATAAGCAATTATATTTTTATTCAGTATATATTTTGTCTTTGTTAAAAGGGGGCTCATTTCTGTTAGACACAGGGTTACATAATGTCTTATAAAAAACAACTTACTTCTCACTAAAATAATACTTTTAAAATAAACATGATTAGTGTTAATTAAGATTAAAACAACTATTTTGAAATCTAGAACTACTTGTCAACCTCACTGTATAAATGAATTGGTTCTGTTTTCAGTTCATTTTAGAGACACATGCTTAATTGATCTTGATAGGTAACTCTGAAACAAAGGAAGTAAACAATAAATGGATGAATAAATTCATAGCTTTTGTTATGTGTGTTTTTTTCTTTACAGCGTTTATATTGCAGTAATAACTGGACTGGTACAGCAGAAATTATTTCCCTTCAACTTTCAAAAACATGCATCTGTTTTTTTTAAGTTTGAAGCCCTGCTAATCCACGATTAAGGTTTTGGCCTGAAACACCTAAGCAAATATGTTCTTATAAATATTAAAGATTATTATTTTAGGACAGAGGTTATACCAGCAGAGTTCTGTAAATATTTAATGAATAACAGCAGGAATACCACAGCTTGAGAG